GTTTCCTATTTATCTTTTATGATATATATGTTCACAAAAGGATTCGAGACACCAAAGATATTTCGTGGACCTAATTCAAAAGCCATCGATTACATTCATCGAACAGTTTTAATTCTAAATCAGTCTTTACCGCCACCAAATTACATTTTGAATTTGATTGGAAAAATTGAGATTTATGCCACTCCAAAAAATACAAATAATCGAAATATGAACATTCTTGATAGTAGTATTAGTGATACTGTAACATCTGAAACTGTTATCAACATTAATAATAATAATAATTTTAATAATAATAATAATGATAATAAGGATATTAATAATAATGACACTAATACAATTAATAAAATTAGTCTAGATACCTCTGATGGTAGTTTAGATAGTTCTAATAGTACACTATAACATATAACATCATCATCAAACATAAGCTAAAAAATAAATAAAGAAAAACCTAAATATAAAAATCATATTTTAATTTTATAACAGCATTTTCAATTTCGAATCAAACTAATAATACATACACACTAATACAAAAATAAATATGAAACCACCTAAAACCAAATTTATTTTGAATAAATAAATAAGTAAATAAATAATAAACCTATAATAAGTGTAAAATACGAATCTAAATGATCTAATTTAAATTTAATTCTATTTTAAGATTTGGTAAAAATTTATTAATTTTTTTTAATAAAAATTTTTTAAATAAAAACATTAAAAAAGTATACGCACGCACCTACAAAAATGAACAACTCGAAAACAATCAAATTGAATAAATAATGAAAAAATTTATTTTCGCAATCATAAATTTCCCATAAAAGATTTGTGCCCGATGCAAGTGTGGTGGCTACTGATGTTAAAAATCTAATAATAAATTAATTGGAAATTAAAATTTTTATATTTTTTTTAAAAAGTTTAATTTCAAGAAACTTACAAGGAAATTCTCAATTTTGTTAATTTTTGAAATATGTAAAATCCAATTGTTATTGTGGCAACGCACGAGAATGATAAGGCCGCTAAAGGAAGAAGTACATTATCACCTTTACATAAGAAATCGACACTATTTGGGTCTTGATCACTCATTTATTATTTGTTATATACGAAGATTATTTTATCTGATAAAATTTCTATTTTTTAAAAATTTTTCCAAAAGATACATAATCTATATTTGCGTGTGCTGTATACGTGCGCGTGTATGTATAAATAATATTTTTCTGGA